CCTGATTCCTGTTCCCTGTTCCTGTTCCTCCTCCTCCCCCCCCCTTCCCTCTCTCTTCTGCCTCCTCCACCCCTCCTCTTCCCCTGCTGCCTCCCCCACCCTCGTTCCTCTTCCCCCCCCCCCCTCCACCTCCCTTCACCGTCCTCATTTCCCTCTTCGCCCCCCTTGTCTCCTCCCTCCTCCTGCCTCCCTCCCCCCTCCGCCCTGCTCCCGTCCCCTCCCGCCCTCCCTCGCCGCCCCCGCTTGATACTTCCTCGCCTTTTTGCTCGAAGCTGGGGCCCTCGTTTCGGCGTCGCCTCTGGGGGGCTACCAAGAGTCCCCTTTGAACTTTAATCCCCAAAAAAACACCATCATCATTGGAAAACGTAGATAATGTGGAGGAGGAGGAGGAGGAGGAGGAGGAGGAGGAGGAGGAGGAGGACAGATGATTTCCAGGGGCTCCAATAATCGAGGGTCGAAGGGTCGACTTCAGGGGTTCCTTGAGAAGGCATGGAGGGGAAGGTGGAGGGCGAGAGCGTGGGAGCGGCGGCGCCCGGGGGCGTGAACGTTCAGGGTCACGCGCCGAAGCCGCCGGACGGGGGCGGAAAAGATTGAACGAGGAATAAGAACCGCCTCGCCCTCGGAAGGGATACCATAATGCTGTTCGGAAGTACGCCCATCGTTTGGGGTGCCTCCATGGGGCCCTCGGCCTTCGGCGGAAGGGCTCCTTCTCGATCCCTCATCTTCCTCCCCTCGTCCTCTTCCTCCTCCTCCGAGATACGGGGCGCGCGCAAGGCGATTGCGATGGCGATGTGCCGTCCGAGCTGTGGATGTCGAAGTTCCTCGGAAGAGGTGGTGGCAATGCCTTCATGAGCGGGAGATTTGGGCGAGGGGATATCGGACCCCGCATGCCAGAACAAATCCCCATGATGGGGTGCGGTATCCAGAAGGATGCATGTGACATGTGGAAGCATGGCGCATGATGGTAAATGTATTGCTGATGTTGTTGGTGTTGTTGTCGTTGTTGTTGCTGTTGTTGTTGTTGTTGCTGTTGTTGTTGTTGCTGCTGCTGCTGTTGTTGTTGTTGTTGTTTTTGTTGTTGTGGTTGTTGTTGTTGTCGTTGTTGTTGTTGCTGTTGTTGTTGTTGTTGTTGTTGTTGTTGTTGTTGTTTGTTGTCGTCGTCCCATCCGCGACCCACCCGCGACCCACCCAGCGACCCACCCGCGACCCACCCTGCGACCCACCCGCGACCCACCCGCGACCCACCCGCGACCCACCCCGCGTTGTTGTTGTAATGTGTTGTCGTCGTCCCACCCGCGACCCACCCGCGACCCACCCCGCGACCCACCCGCGACCCACCCTGCGACCCACCCGCGACCCAACCGCGACCCAACCGCGACCCACCCGCGACACACCCCGCGACCCACCCGCGACCCACCCCACGACCCATCCACGACCCACCCACCCGCGACCCACCCCGCGACCCAGCCTCAAGGGAGGAAAAAAACCACCCGGACCCGACAATTGGCGTTTACTAAACGGCCCTGGGCGCTGACTAAACAGCAATGCCCTGTTCGAGTCATTCATTGTGTGCGATTGCTAAACGGCTTCGCTTGTCGGGGTGATTATTACGGGGTGGATGTTTTTGCCCTCTACACCCGCGACCCACCCGCAACCCAACAGCGACCCACCCGCGACCCATTTGCGGCCCATCCGCGACCTACCCACATTGGTTTAACGAAAAATCGGCGCATGCGGCGGGCTCGTTGTATAATTTGTGAAAATGTGGCGCCTGCGGCGAGCATCTCCAGAGCTTCGCGAACTGCCCACGTCCCGTGCCGCCACCTCACTTCTATCCGCATCTGCCAGGTGCTACGCATTGAGGCCAGGTCGGAAGTCATACTATGACCGCCACCGCCGAGATCAGGATGTTCTTCCCGCGGTGGAGGCACACCGCCGAAATTGGTGTTGGTGTCCTTCCCCTGTCGAGAGCCAGGCCCGACGTGCTGCTGCCGAGCGGAGGTCCGCGGGCGGACGGCGGAGCGGCGCCCCGGCGGGCAGGCGCCTCTCGCCAGCCGCCGGGGGGGGCGGGCAGAGGGCGCCTTAGTCGGGGACGCGCAAACATGGATGAGCGTTAGGTCGGGCCTGTCCCCCTACAGGGGGATTTTGATCGGAAAAAAGGAAATAGACCCAACAATTATTCAACTGATCCCAGTGCGACCCTACCTAGGAGTTGGAGCATGTAGGAAAGCAACATCTACATCTACACCGACAGCTGCCTTTACATCTACACCTGCATCTACATCTACATCAACATCAGCAGCGAGACTCACATGTACATCTACATCTAAACCTACATATACACCTACATCTACATCTACATATACATATACATCTACACCTACACCTACATTCACATCTACACCTATGATATACAATGCTATGATGTGCTATGCTGCGCTATGCTATGCTATGCTATGCTATGATATGCTATGAGATGCTGCGCTAAGCTATGATATGTTATGATATGGTATGAAATGTTATCATGTGCCATAATATGCGATGCTGCGTTGTGCTAGGCTAAGCAATGCTGTGCTATGACATGCTAGCTATTATACGATATGCTAAGCTATGGTATGCTATGCTATGAGATGCTGAGCTATGCTATGCTATGATATGCTATGTTATGATATGATTGGCTATGTTATGAGATGCTGGGCTACTGCTGCGCTGCGCTATGCTGCGCTGCGCTAAGCTCAGCTAAGGTAAGCTAAACTATGTTAAGCTAAGATAAGCTAAGCTAGGCGAGGCTAGGCTAAGCTAAGCTAGGCTAAGCTAAGCCAAACCAAGCTAAGATAAGATAATATAAGCTAAGCTAAGCTAAGATGAGATAAGCTAAGCTAAGCTAAGATAACATCTGCTAAGCTAAGCTAAGCTGAGCTAGGCTAGGCTAAGCTAAGCTAGGCTAAGCTAAGATGAGATAAGCTAAGATAAGCTAAGCTTAGCTATGCTTAGCTAAGCTAAGCTGGGTGAACCCAGGGGGCGCAACTGGGGGAACCGCGGGGCGGATACTGGGGGAACCGCCGGGGGCGAGGAACACTGCCCGGCCCCTTTAAGCCCAGCGAGTAAGAACCCTCTAGGCAGAGCCTAGGTAGGGAACAATACTAAAAAAGGTCAACAAATCGTGCCCAGACTATTTGTTTGATTATTTTTGAACATTCCTCCTGTAGAGGGACAGGCCCGACTTAAGATTAGCGATTCATGGATTTGGCGCGCGGTCGCCAAATCCATGGATCGGGGGAGGTGCCCTCCCAAAAATACGGCCGGTGCCGCCTCGTCCGGCGGCGGAAATCTCTGCTTTCCCCTGGAAGCGGGACCCGTCGCTAATCCACGCACCCTTGATCCATGTTTACGATCGCCTGACATAGGGCGGCACACCTCTCGCCAGCCGCCGGTGGGGGGGGGGCAATCAGACTCTTCCATGACCATTGTGCTGTCTTCTTCGCCCCCTGGGGGGTTGAGGCCCAGTTCACCAGTTACAGAGCTCGACGCGCGCATCAAGCCGGCGGCACACCACTGCGCCGATCGGCCCTTTGTGGGCCACGTTCCGGCTGCGGAACTCGCTCGGCAAACAATGGCCAAGGATACGAGCCATCACGGGGGGGGATCCTCAGGCTCAGCGACCTGGCGGTATCCCTGAGTCTTGGGAGAGACTGTTCTGACTTCTTTTTTCCTATGCCAATCTTCCTTGCAAAAACCAGAAAATATGGATCAGAATGAGGTTGCCTGCCCCTGCCCTACCTCGCGCGCACTCTACTGGCAGCCGTCGACGGTGGCGGGGAGCGCCACACGGGCGGCACACCTCTTTTGCTGGGCCGGTTTTGCGGGGCGTGCGCGGCGGCCCGCAAGAGGGCCGTGTGGCTCCCTGGGCGTCCGCAGCCCTTTGTCAGCTCCCCCTCTTTGGGCGGCGAAGGGGCCACAGGCCGAGGCGAAGACGACGACGAGGACGAAGACGACGACGACGGCGAGGACGACGACGAGGACGACGACGACGACGACGGCGACGGCGACAACGGCGGCGCGACGGCGACGACGACGACGCGAGGCCGACGGCGACAACAACGACGGCGGAAGGCGGCGGCGACGACGAGCCGCTGGCGGCGGGCTCGCATGGGCTCGCTCGCTTACGCTTGGCTGGTGGCTGGGCGCATCCCACGCCCGTCGGTATGACGAAGGCCTTGGTTTATTAGACGAGCGCGGTCCACCACTCGCAAAATAGCTACTCGCAAATGGCCTGGGTCCATTGCGTCGGGGCAACCAAGCTCCATTGTATCCAATGACATATGTTTTTTTGACGTTTGCGAATAGGCACTTTGCGAATAGTGGAACGAGTTCGGTGATTCATGGTTCTGCGGCGCATGCGGGTTACTCGCCAGGCCCAGCGGAGTGGCTCAAGTAAGCCGTGCCAGCCCCTAAGTCGTTACCAGGGGCACGCGCGAATCTCTCCGGCTGTATCAATCGCGTACTGTTTCCGATATCACTGCGTGAAGTTTGAAATCCGGAATGTCGTGTGTTCTCCCTCGAACATGGTAAGGAAACGAGCAGGGCGGCGAGGCACCCCGACCTGCGGCGACGTGGCGTTTTCCACGAGAGGCCCCAAAGCTCACGGTCTCTACCCTGGGCGCAATTATTAATCCCACGTCAACTGTTTGATTTCCCCCTGTACAGGGGCCAATCCAGGCGGCATACCGGACGGGACACCACACGGGGACCCACACTGGGAGACCACACAGGAGACCCTACAGGCATACAAGCGACCATACGGGAGACCACGAACGACTGGCCACTGACTCCAGATCTGGACTCGCCCACATCCGGCATCCTGACAGACATGGAGCCCTTGCAGACAAGCTTTCCTAGGGAGCAGCTACAGTCAACGCACCTAGTAAGGACGCGCGCCTTCATCTAGGATACCCTTGCGTCCTTGCCTCTGTGGCCCGTCCTTTGCCGTTTTCACTGGTCGCCGCCGCCCAAAAAAATCCAGCTTCAGCCTCCAATGGTCTTGCGTCCTTGCCACGCGTCCTTACTATACGTTTTCACTGTACACACGCGCGGGCAATTTTCATCCATCCCACGAGATCGCGCGCGCGCCTTGCAGATGAATCACTCCCTGCACGTCACCATCACGCCAAGATGCGGCACAGGGCCACTGCTCGCTCTTGCCGCAAGCGGCGGCCAGCGAGGCGTCGGCGATGACGCTCGGGGGCAGATCCCGCCACGCAGCCTGGTCGCAACGCCACACGGCCTGGGGCCCGCTGCCCGCTTTCGCCGCGCACGGCGCGACCAGCGAGGTGTTGGGAAGGACGTCTGGGGCAGGACCCCGCCTCACCATCTCGCAGGAGGGCTTCAAGGCATCACCTGGGGAAAGCACGAAAGAATCGGCACCGCTACTCTTAAGTCGGGCCTGTCCTCCTGCACGAGATTTTGGACGCCGGGAATAGCGTCTTCGCCGGGAAAAACGTCTTCGCCGGGAATAGCGTCTGCGCCGAGAATAGCGTCTGCGCCGGGAATAGCGTCTTCGCCGGGAATAGCGTCTTCGCCGGGAATAGCGTCTTCGCCGGGAATAGCGTCTGCGCCGGGAATAGCGTCTGCCGCCGGGAATAGCGTCTTCGCCGGGAATAGCGTCTTCGCCGGGAATAGCGTCTGCGCCGGGAATAGCGTCTGCGCCGGGAATAGCGTCTGCGCCGGGAATAGCGTCTATTCGCCGGGAATGGGGCTCCTCGCCGGGAATAGCGTCTTCAAGCACATTTGCGTCTTCAAACGGAATTGCGTCTTCAAGCGCATTTGCGTCTTCACCCTTTGGTTGCGCAATTGCGTCTTCAAAGCGATTAGCGTCTTCACCCGCTCGACCGCCCCTGGCCAATAGAGTCTTCAAATAGCGTCTTCGTCTTCAGGCCTTTTGGGGAAACCCGCGTGCCACCTCAATGTATATATATATATACATATTCCAAAAAATACCCCCAATGGTCAACAAATATTCAAATAATAGTCCCCTGATTATCTTTGTGATATGTTTGAACATTCCTCCTGTCTAGAGACAGGCCCGACTTACCGCTCTTCCCTGGTCCTGTCCCGGGTTCCGTTCTGGCTGGAATTGGGAAGCGAATCCAGCCGTGGCTCGGAGGGCCCCCCCGCGAGGCCCAACGGGGCGAAGACGAAGGGAGGGGCGCGGCATCGGTACCCTCTCCTCCTGTGATCACCTTGCGCGCTTCCCACAAGTCCCACGAACTCCTGGTCTCCCCCAGCGTCTCCAGAGCGCTGCGGACCTGAGGAACAACAACACCAACAACAGCAACAGCAACAGCAGCAACAACAACAAAAACAACAACAACATCACCACCACCACCAACACCACCAACAACAGCAGCAGCAGCAGCAACAATAACAACAGCAACTATAAACAACTGCAATCCCCCGCCGTCTGCTGCTCTGGCACGCGCGGCGAGTGCTTGCTGCACCTTCAACTGGTCCGCACTGCTGGCTTTCACGGGGACGGGGCGGTGCACGCTCTTGCGCGCTGCTCGTTCTTCGTCGTGCCCTCCTTTTCTGCAGCTCGTCTTGGCTCCAAGAGGGGCGCAGCACAGTCTGGAGAGAGCAACCATAACGAAGGGAGGCCCTCCAAAGGCAGAAACTGTCCCTGGAAGCAGGCGCGACCCGCTGCTCCAGGACGCGCCGGGCGCCCCCTGGCCCAGCAAAGAGCCCTTTGTTCGGCGGCGAGCGAGGGGGGGAACTTCGAAGGCGAAGGCCTCCTCAGAAGGCGGCGGGACTTCTCGGAAGCCCTCGCGCCTTCTGCAAAGTTCTCGCCTGTCTTCGGGGAGGACTTGGAAAGTTCTCAGGAGGCCGGGGGACTTCCGAACCTTCTGAGAAGTCCTCCTCCTCCTTTTCCTCCTCCTCCTCCTCCTCCAAGGCTTTCTCCTTCTTACTTCCCCCCCTCGCTCGCCGCCGACTTGTGGGCCGCAGGGAGCTGGGGGGGATGCCCGCGCGCCAACACGTCGGCGCTGCAACTCGGCCGACCTTGGCCGGCATGTCGTCCCACAGGATGCCGTGCGGGAGGGGCCAGGTCGTGGTGTGATCCCACGAGTCCTCGCAGGCCGAGGGGCGCAACAGAAGATTTAGGTCGGGCGTGTCCTCCTACAGGCGGATTTTTGGAGAAACAATCAAAGAATCCGAAGTAGTCAAATTATAATCGAAGAACCGTCCCCAGACTATTGTTGGACTAGTTTTGAACATTCCTCTTGTAGTGGGACAGGCCCGACTTGACAGAATGTCTACATTGCCCCAGGGACGCACGTATCCTACAAGACACGTAGTTCAACCACCTTCGAGCCTTGCGTTGCGCAAAGCATGCTCCGGCTTTGCGGTCTCGTGTCCACCCGATGAGAAGAATCCCATCCGCCCTCTGAGCGTCGGTGCATTGGCGCGCTTTCTCTTCCAAATCCCCTTCTCCTTCGTGGAAGCGCTTACCCCTCCCACCGCCCTCCACTGGGGTCTGGACGGAGGGGCCGCATGGGGTCGACTTTCCCCCCCCCCCTCCTCCCATGCACTCCTTCCCCTCCCCCCCTCCCCACCTCCGCCCCCTCACATCTCCCCTCTAGAACTCCCAGAAAGTCCCGATCGGCTCCCAGAGATGCCGAATATCGAAGTTCACCCTATTTGAGCCCTGGAACGCCCTCGGCGAGGCGCAGCCGCTGGAAGGCCTCTGGAGGCAGAAAAACAGCGGAGAATCTGAGAAAACGTCTGACAACTTCGCACCTCGAAGCCTTTGGTCCCTTCGGGGGTAAGGGCGACGACGACGAGGACGATGGCGACGACCACGAATGGGACGACGACGAGGACAACGACGAAAACAACGACGGCACGACGACGACCCGACCTCGCGCCTGGGAACCCGGCGGGGCCTTGTCGATAGCGAGATTCGGGATGGTTGTGCTTTCCCCCCTCGCCATGCTCCTCTCCTTTCTTGTCTCGCCCCTTTCGTCCAAGCTGTCTCCCACCTCATGGCCGTCGCCGCCGGTGTCATGGCTGTGAGACGCCGCTGACGACGACGGGGACATCATCGTCAGTCGTCGCCGTCCTTGTCGTCGTCGTCGCCGTCGCCGTCGCCATCGCCGTCGCCGTCGCCGTCGCCGTCGCCTTCGTCGCCGCCGCTGCCGTCGTCGTTGTCGCCGTCGTCGTCGTCGTCGTCGGTGTCGCCGTCGCCGTCGCCGTGGCCGTCGTCGTGGCCTTCGTCGTCGTCGTCCTCGTCGTCGTCGTTGTCCTCCCCCTCTTCGTCATCCTCGTCACCGTCGTCTCGACCTTTGGCCGCCCGCGTCTCCGCGCTCCAGCCGAGGCTCTCTGCCGCGGCCCGCTGCTCCGCGGGCAGCTGCTCCCACAGCAGCCCCCACACCGAGTTCCTCGTCGGGGGGGAAGGGTCGCCCGTCGTCGTCGTCGTGCTTCTGGGCGCCTCCGGCTTCCAGCTCGGGGAGGCATCGTGGACCTCGTGGCTTGAGCCCAGACGTGCGAGGTCCTGATTTTTCCAGGACGGGGTCCCTGGAAATCCCGGCCCGTTCCCTGGGACCGGTTTTTCATCTCGAGCCGTTTTTGCAACGCTCCCGAGGCCCGGCGAGGGCCCTCCGAGGCCGCAAATGGCCCAAATTCTCCCGCCCTGATGTCTTCAAGACGCGATCCCGTCTGGGTCTACATCGAGTCCAAAAATCGGGTCGAATCGGAACGTGCGTCGGATCAGAGTGCAGCGACGCGGCCTCGAGGTCTCACCTGATCGGCTGCGCCAGGGTGCGCCACCGCGCCACGCACGCACAGGGCCGCTCCAGACCGCCGGAACCTCGGAATCGGAAACTGAGGATCATACCGAGCCGGACCGGTCGGACGGAGATGAGAAGTTGACCTTAATTGCTAGACCCAGACCCCCGACGTCGTAATCTTTTCGCAACGTCGACCCCCAGAGGTCTGGACCCATTCCCAGGGACCTGCCTTTCATGCTGCGTCGCTGTGTGACGGTCCCGAGGCCCGAAAAGGGGCCCCCAGAGGCCGAGCAGAGCGGAACACCTCCCCCGTCGTGTTTTTTTCACTGCCTCGAGGGGGTCTGGGATTGACCCCGCCGGAGCCGGGCCGCCCGCCGGCGGCCCCCCTGGGTGCAGATGGCCGCCGATCCGCGGCCCCTGAGCTCGAGACCCCTTCTCCGGGGGGCAGCCTGCCGCCCTGGGCCCGTGCTTGCTGGCCACGGCACCACAGGCAAGGGCCAGGCGGGCTCCAGAGGCCGACAGAGATCCAGGAGCGGCGCGGGGAGTCGAAAAACACTCCGATCGCAGGCGTCGGCGCCGAGCGAGGGGGGGGGAAACGAGACGGAGAAGGAAGGCTCGGGAGCCCCCCGCCCTTCTGAGGCTTGCCCGAAGACGCAGAGCACTTCTCGTAAGGCGCGAGGGCTCCTGAGAAGTCCCGCCGCCTTCTGAGAAGGCTTTCTCCTTCTCACTCCACCCCCCTTGGAGGAAGAAAAAACGGCATGACCATACACTTTCGACGGTCTGCAGGGATTTCTTGGATCTGCGCTTTAGCCCCCTCCCTGGCGCGCGGAGCGCGCCAAGGGCGGCGCTGCAGGCGCCGCCAGGGGGCCCCAGCGCAGATCCAAGAAATTCGCGCGGAGCTGCGAAAGTTTATGTTTGTGTAGTTTTTTCTTCGTCGACCCCTCGATGACCGCCGAATGAGACCTGGGGTGGGGGCGGCGCCGAGGTCCCTGGACCCACGTTCGATGGCCGCAGCACCAAGACGACGGACAGGCGGGCTCCAGCGGCAGACGACACCGAGAAACGACACCCGGATCCGAAAAACAATCATATCGTCAAGATCTGGGGGCCCAATGCAGTGGAGGCCAGTCCACAAGAAACCTTCCACAAGAAACCCAACCCTGAGACGCCAGGACGTCCATCGAAGTTTGGTGTGGGAAGCGTCGCGCTCTCCGTAGCAAAACCATCGAAACCCAAGAAGCCCAGGGCACCCTGGAGGCAAGCAGGGTGTTTCTTGGCATGGGCCTCCACTGTATCGTGGGAAATCTGGGAGCCCAATACAAGCTGCACAGGGAGCCCCCTAGGCAGCCGTAGCCGCAGAAGGCCTGGGCATCGTTTCCAGTAATCAGCTTTGCTCCTCCCCCCTGCCTAAGGGGAGAGGGAGGAGGGGAGGAGGAGGAGGAGGAGGAGGAGGAGGAGGAGGAGGAGGAGGAGGAGGAGGAGGAGGAGGAGGGAGGAGGAGGAGGAGGAGGAGAGGAGGAGGAGGAGGAGGAGGAGGAGGAAAAAGGAGGAGGAGGAGGAGGAGGAGGAGGAGGAATAGGAGAACACGATGAGGAGGAGGAGGAGGAGGAGGAGGAGGTGGGAGGAGGAGGAGGAGGAGGAGGAGGAGGAGGAGGAGGAGGACGAGAAGGAGGAGGAGGAGAAGGAGGAGGAGAAGGAGGTGGGAGAGGGAGGACGAGGAGGAGGAGGTCGAGGAGGAGGAGAAGCTCGGTTCCTCCTTCCAGTTTTGCGGGCCCCCCGCGGCTCCCCCGGCTCGGCCAGCCCGTGGTCTGCCACGACTCCCCCGAGCCGCCGCTGCCGGCCGCGGGGCTGCCCTGGCCGGGCTTTGGCCCGGGCGGCAACGGAGGCCACGAAGACGACGACGAGGAGGACGACGACTACGTCGACGACGTCGACGACATCGACGTCGACGACGACGTCGACGACGACGACGACGTCGGCGACGGAAACGGCAACGACGACGGCGCCGAGGACGGCGACGTCGGCAAGCACGACCACGACGAAGGCGACGGCGACGACGGCGAAAACGACGATGACGGCGGCGACGGCGACGACGACGACGGCGAGGACGACCCGCGCGACCACGACCACGACGATGGCGAGGACGACGACGAGGAAAACGACGAGGACGAGGACGACGACGACGACGAGGACGAGGACGACGACGACGACGACGACGACGACGGCGACGGCGGCGACGACGAGGACGAGGACAATAATGAGAGCGAGGGCGAGGGCGGTGATAACGACTGCGACGACGGCTGGCGACGACGAGGACGCGGACGACGGCGAGGAGCGCGGCAACGACGACTACGACGACGTTGACGACGGCTGGGCCGAGTGCGGTGGCGACGAGAGCGATTGCGACGACGCCGGGGAGGAGGAGGAGGAGGAGGAGGAGGAGGAGAAGGAGGAGGAGAAGGAGGAGGAGGGGGAGGAGGAGGAGGAGGAGGAGGAGGAGGAGGAGGAGGAGGAGGAGGAGGAGGAGGAGGAGGAGGAGGAGGAGGAGGAGGAGGAGCAGACGACGAGGAACTCTCGGCGTGGGCGCTGCCGCGGGAGCAGCTGCCCGCGGACCCGCGGGGGCCGCGGCGGAGGGAGGCGAGGGGGGCGCGGGCGGCCAGCGGTCGCCGCCGTGGGCGACGGTGAGGATGGCGACGACAAGGCGAAGGAGGCGGAGGAGGAGGAGGACGAGGAGGAGGAGGAGGACGAGGAGGAGGAGGAGGAGGAGGACGAGGAGGAGGAGGAGGAGGACGAGGAGGAGGAGGAGGACGAGGAGGAGGAGGACGAGGAGGCGGAGGAGGAGGAGGAGGAGGAGGAGGACGAGGAGGAGGACTGGCCGTATCCCAAGAAGAAGAGACGAGGGCGAGCGGGCAAGACGCGAGACGAGGGCAAGACGTCTGCTCGGGTCTCGCCGCAGCTCGCGCTCAGCCTGCTTCCAGCGTGCGGTCGTCAGCGCCCGTCGCTCTGGCCACGGGCATGCTGTGAGGAGCATCGGGCCATGCACTAGGAACGTGATGTAAATCGTGAGGATCCTGGCGGAGAGCTGGGAAAGCAGGAATAGGAGGGAAGGGCGACAAGGACGAGCGGGGTAAGGTGAGCCGCACGGGGGGTTCAGGGCTACATCGGCGGGTGGCCGCGGGGGCCTCATGAGCAGCGGCAGCCACGCCAGGCGGCAGAAGCGCGCGTGCATCATCATGCAGAGCTGCTTCGGGTTGTGAGGGATGGGCTGCTGCAGCCGATCCGTGCCATTCCTTGCGTGCGTAGTCCCAGCAGATTCCCCATGCGTGGTCGAAATCAACATCACGTGCATGTACTTCGGGGAGGTCGTGGGGAACAGCAGCAGCCACTCCAGGAGGCAGGACGGCCCGTGCAACATCATGCAGAACACCATGCTGAAGCTCCGCTGCGGGGCAAACCAATTCATTCGCCAGGCTATGATGTGACCAGCTGCAGCCGCTGATCTGGATGATGTCCGAGCGTCGCAAGAACTTGGCGCCTGGGACAGCCCAGTCGGGGTGGGCAGCAGCAGCGGCTCCACGATCATGGTCAGGAAGATCTTGTACGGGAAGGTCGCCACGCAAGACGGCTGCGAGAACATGTTGTTCGCCGCACTCGGCGGTATCTTCGGGGACTGGGTCGCCACCAGCGGCGGCATCATCACGGGCAGCAGTGTCCTCTACTGTCAGGTCGCACTCCACAAGGTCGAGCCACGCGTCGAAGCAGCGTATGAGCGGCCTATTATGTGGAGTAGCGTCTTGCGCCGTGCAGCTCGATGCCATTCGCGGACAAGTGGACGGAGAGCAGCGCGGACATCGCCAGCAGCACGAGGTCGGGCGCCACCAGCAGCGGCGGCTCTCGAAACAGGAACATCACGAGGTTGAGCGCCACCAGCGGCAGCGGCATGCACGACGGGCCGACGAGCATCGGGAACATCACTAGCGTCACGAGGATGAGCACCACCGGCGGCAGTGGGATGCAGAGCAGGCTCAGGAGCGCCAGCGCGACACCGAGGAAGAGGCCCAGCTCCATGTAGAGGGACGTGTTGGGGAAGCGGTCCAGCACCGTTGCAAAGAGCTTCAGGCGCGGCATCGCCACGGGGAACACGGCCAGGGGCGGCTCCAGGAACGTGGCGAAAGTCATGCAGTAGAGCGTCAGCGACACCATCGGCGTCGGGGTCAGCAGCGCGGTGTTCTTGACGTGCGGGTGGCGGCAGAGGGCCAGCTCCGTGACGTAGGTCAGCTCGGACGGGCAGCGCAGCGCGCAGAGGTCCAGCACCATCATGGGGCCCATCTTGCACACGACGCCGCTGGATGAAGTCCGCAACCTCTTGGAGCTCATGGCTGCCGCAGACGCACAGCGGGTAGAGCGGGATGAGCTTGGTCGGCAAGTGACGTGCACAAGCAGGTGGAAGTAGATCGTGAAGCCGAAGAGGTACACGGAGGGGGCGACGACTGAATCCCAGCTGCATCGCACAGCATTGGCGAGCATGAGCCGCGGCCTGCGATCGGCAGTAGGGCATCACCGCTAGGCCACTGCGCAGCGAGAACAGCGCGAGCAGCTGCAGCAGCGCCAGGCCGATCGGGATCACCCGAGCGTGCGCGAGCATGGACATATGGAGACGCGGCCGACGGCGGCGGGCGGCGCTGCGCTTGGACAGGAGGCCTTGGGCGAGACAGCTGTGGAACCCATTTCGGCCCAAGTCCGAGATCCCACGGAGGGGACGGACTTGAGCCAAAATGGCTACGGAAGGAGGAGGAGGAGGAGGAGGAAAGGGAGGAGGAGGAGGAGGAGGAGGAGGAGGAGGAGAATAACAACGACGACGAGGACGACGCCGACGGGGACGACGACGGCGCGGAAGGCGAGGACGACGAGGACGACGAGGACGACGACGGCGACAACGACGGCTGCCCTCGTCGCCCGTGCGCTCTTGGGACCCCGACGGGCCCTTTTCGACAGAGAACTTTGGTATGGTTGTGTTCTCCTGCCTCCCTGCTCCTCTCCTGCCCTTTTCTGCCCCTCTCGCCCCCGTTGTCTCCCGCCTCATGCCTACCACCGCAGGTGCCATGGCCGTGACGCCTCGAGCTGGCACTCCCGCCAGCCAACGCGCAGAGTCGGCGCGCTCGGGCTGAACGGCACCTCAGTAGCAACCGCATGCTCTCACCGTCCGCCCCCGCAGGGCTGAGTGTGCAAAGGTATCTCGGGCCAGGCGAAAGGGGGGGATAGCAAAGGGGGGGTTGAGGCTCAGCTCACGCAGCTGATTTTCCCGGCGCCTCCCGGCGCCGGAGGCGCCCATGTATCGAGGAATGGGCCCCTCGGCGGGGCCGAGACCAACTGCACGCAGCAGATGTTGTAATCCCCCCTTTCCCTATCTCCCCGTTTCGTCCGGCCCGAGTACCCCAACAGCCCCCCTCTCTTTAATTCAAGCTGTGCGCGGCCCGCTTAGCTTCGACCGGAAGAGGTGCGCTCTCGACCCGCGGATCAAAAAAAAGAGTATCCCAGCAGCCATCACCACCCACACCCCGCCCGGCCCGCCTGCTCCGCAGGCTCCGCGGCCGCGGGGGCCGCGGCGGCCCAGCTGTCGGCGGCGTGGGCCGCCACGACGTCCTCGGCGAGGGCGGGCCTGCCCAGCAGGCGCGCCAGGTCCCTGTAGGCATCCTCCCACTCCTCGGGCGGGGGCCCCAGATATCTCCGACCACCTCGCTCCCAGCCATCCTGTGGCGCTGGGGCCTCGTTCTGACGAGACAGCGCCCTGCGTCCTCCGTCCTGCCTCCCCCCCCCCGTCCTCCCTCTTCCCGTTCCTGCCTCTGCTCTCCGCATGCCCGTTTCGGCACACCGTTCGCACGCTTCGTGGCCACAGAGCGAGTTCCATCGAAGCCCGCAGGGTGTGCTACCGCATAGGGCTCACCAGCCCCTTCTGGCACACCCCGCACACGTCTCGTGGCCTCAAAGAAGCGCCACCGAAGTTTCCAGGGGGGTGCTGTCACAGAGTATCCCCCAGCATATTTCGGCACACCCCTCACACGCCTCTTGACCCCGTCAGGAGCTCCACCGCAGTCCGCAGAGGGTGGTGCCACAGAGCGCCCCGCAGCCCATGTTGGCACACCGTTCGCACGCCCCGTGGCCCCGTGGGGAGCTCTGCTGAAGCCCCCACTGGGGGGGGGGGCACATACCGTCCCCCAGCCCACGTCGGCACAGCCCTCACACGCTGCGTGGCCCCACAAGGAGATCCACCGAGGCACCCTGGGGGTCGTGCCACGCGGCGCCTCCCGACCGACGTCGGCACGACCACCACACCGCTTCGTGGCTCCAGAGAGGGAGGTCCGCCGCACCCCCCAGAGGGTGCGTCCACGTGCGGCTCCCCGCTCATGTCGCCACACCTCTCACACGCTTAGTGGCCCCTTTTGCCCGAGACAGGAAACCCCACCACACTCCATGAGCACGCAGGGCGCTCGCGATATCCTCACGCTGGGAAAGGGGCCAGACAACTAGGAGCTGACTAAAATAATTGACTCGAGTCGTCGAGGAGGGATCCCCAATCGGACGCGAGATAACCAGGCGACAGGGAGATCTACTCCTTCGTCCCACCTGCCTCGCGGCATCCACACTTGCATCTGGCTGGGAACTTCGCAAAGGTCATGTTTGCTTCCTCCCGGCGGTTTTCATGGATTTCGGCTCTGGGGGGCCGCTACCTGGCCCGCTGGGACACTCAGAAATGGATCGGGGGCGAAAACTAAGCCCTGGGGAAGCGGTCGGCACCTCTGGGCTGGCATATTGAAAAACTCACGACTTCCCGAGGTCTCGAGGCGGGGGGCGGGGGTTCCATATATCCAACGTGTTATCAAAATCAAAGCGGAAGTTGTTTGTCGCTTTCGGGGAGCCTCGCCCAAGGTGGCCAAACAAACTCAGAAGGAACAGCCGGTCCCAGGGAAGGAGGGGTCCGGACCTCTGGGGAGCCACGCCGTAGAAGATCACGACGTCGGATGCCTGGGCCGGTGGTGGGCGAGCGCATGGATGATTTCGTCTGTGGCGGGACGGGCTCGGCACACGACCCCAACCCCTTCGGGTCAGCCGAGAAGTTGCTCAGGAAAGCAGATGTTAGCCAAGATCTCCGACGAAACCTGTTTTCAATCCGAACGTTGTTCCTTGATTGTGGCCCTCGGGGCCCGTTACCAGGCCCCGGGTCCATCGAAAAGCTGGTCCAAGGGAAGCTGTCGGCACCACTGGCCGCGGCTTGAACAAATCACGGCGTCGGAGGTCTGGATGCGGGGGTGCCATCCGTATTGAAACAGTCAAGGCGGAGGTTTTTCGCCGCCTTCGGCCTCTGGGGCCATTGCTGGGCCCCTGGGTCGTCAAAGACCACTCGGGACGACAGGCGAACGACTGGCCACGCAGAGAGGGTCGCGACTTCCAGGGACCACGTACTGAACAACTCGAGACATCGGACTTCTGGGGTAACGGGCGAGCGCATGCCGCCCCAATTGTTCGGGCTGGGCGGAAAGGGGGGATAGCAAAGGGGGGGGGTGAGAATCTGCTCACGTAGCTGATTTTCCCGGCGCCTCCCGGCGCCGGAGGCGCCCATGTATTGAGGAATGGGCCCCTCGGCGGGGCCGAAACCAGCTGCATGCCGCAGATGTTGTAACCCCCCCTTTCCCTAGCCCCCCCTTTCGTCCGGCCCGAATTGTGCGCGCCGCCCTGTCTGGCTCGTCCCAGGCGTTTCCCGTGTGCTCCCGAAGGGACAGGGCGACCACCCTGTCCGTGGCCTCCACGGCCCACTTGGGCACCTCGGGCTCGTCCTCGCCGTGGGCGCCTCCTCCTCCTCCTCCTCCGACGGCGATGCTTAGAGAGTGGCAGGGAGGAGAGATGGGGGAGGTGGGGAGCGGGAGAAGCAGCAGGAAGGGTGAGTGCGGAGGAGGAGGAGGAGGAGGAGGAGGAGGAGGAGGGAGGAACGGGAGGATGAGTCATCACGCTAAATATTGTAGACCCAAAACAATGAGGTGTTGCACAGTAGACGTGGAAGCCATCCGGTGTAAGCTGTGCGGCGTGAGCAATGTGGTGTAAGATATGCTGCGCAAGCTATTTGGAGTATATGGTGTGGGAACTGAATGGGTGAGCTATAGGGTGAGAACCGTGTTGTGTGAGTTATGTGGTGTACGTAATGGTGTGTAAGCTATGCGGTGCGAGCTATGTGGTTTGAGTTTTGCGGTGTGTGATGTGAGCAATGTAGTGTGAGCGCTGCGGTGCAAACTATTTGGTGTGAGCTATCTCGTGTAAGCTATGTGGTGTGCGCTCTGCGATGTGAGCCATGCGGTCCGAGCTATGTGGCCTGCGCTCTGCGGTGTGATCCGCGCAGTGCGAGCTCTGTGGTGTGAGCTGTGCGACGACTGGTGGTGTGGTGTGGCCCATACTTGCAGTGTGCGTTACGCTGTGTGGCGCAGGCTGTGCCGTGAACGACTGCCGCGAGCTATGTCTGTGGTGCGGGCTGCGCCGCGCAGGCCGTGCCGTGCAAGACCCGTGCGGTGCCTGCGCTGTGCGGCCGAGGCTGTGCTGCGCGGCCCCCCCCCCTCGGCGGCGCCCACGGGCGAAGCGAGGGGGGGCGGGGCGAGGAGGAGGAGGAGGAGGAGGAGGAGGAGGAGGAGGAGGAGGAGGAGGGGAGGGGGAGGAGGGGGAGCAGGAAGAGGAGGAGGAGGAGGAGGAGGAGGAGGAGGAGGAGGAGGGGGCGGGGCGAGGAGGAGGAGGAAGCTTTCTCTGGAAGCCCACCGAGCAAACGGGGGGCGCCCGCGAGGTGCCCACGAGGCGGGCGCGCGGCGACAAAGGACCCTGGACCCCACGAGGCACGGGCACCGGGAGGGTGGCGCGGCGGAGACCTCGGGAGACCCCTCCCAGCACTCCTCGAGGAGCCCCGGCGGGAAGCCCCTGGGTGCAGGGGAACTCTTCTGGGGAGCCCATTTCGGGCACCGGGCGCCCCCAAAGAGCAGTGACCCCTGCACGAGGGCGGATGAGGTTGGGATGAGGTGGGGGTCTGTGGGGCCCACACGGGTGTGGAGGAGGAGTGGAAGCTACGTTCCAGAAGGCTCGGAAACTATGTAATTCTCCTGATCCGACGCTTGCCTTATGTTTTTTCCTCCTCCTCCTCCTCCTCCTCCTCCTTCCTTCCTTCCTTCCTTCCTTCCTTCCTTCCTTCCTTCCTTCCTTCCTTCCTCAACAACAGACACGCCAGCCTACGTGGGGCTGCCTCCGGTGCGTCCTCGCCATAGCTGTCGAGGTACTTGTACTCGGGATCCTTCAGTATCCAGGCCCGGTACCCAGAGAACTTACTCTTGACCTCCTCAGCCCAAGCGGGGTCGTCCAGGGAGGAAAGGCTCGCGCTAAACAGGCGCGCCCAGGGCTTCGGGTCCGCCGAATAATGGAAGGCCTTGATGAGCTCTGGGCGGAGCAGGAACTCTTTGCGATCCGCGTGCGAGCCCTCGTCCAGCCAGGCCACCATGAAGTACATCTGGTGGAGCTGGAAGTTGTAGGCCACGTTGATGTGAGACCACTCGCCCGCGTAGAAGCGCGACAAGTAGTCCTGCTCGGGACCACTGCCTGGGATGTGCTCTGGGTGTGAGCTCTCGGTGACCTCCGAAAGGCACAGCTTCAAGGTCTCCAAGTCAGGCTCGAAGAGCATCACTCCGGCGTTGATGCCGCCCGACCTGGGTGTCGGACAGAAAGAGAGAACGCAGTACAAGCCACATCCCCGAAACACACGACCTGATCCCAACAAACACAGACCGATCTCCCGATCAAGCTTGGCCGAACACATGTTCGGACATGACCAACACACACGACCTTTGGCAACATACAAAGTAGCCAACTGAGAGGTTCGCCCAGAGAAGAGCTACATATAGTATATCAAATTGAGTCGTGGAGGACTTGCAGAACTCATAAGGCCATCAAGACATATATTACCTCATCTTAACTTGAGCTAAACAAGAAGTTAGATAACTCCATCGGTTCCGCAGCCGTGTTCTTCATGTGGCATAGTTGTTTCCAAGCAGGACGACGGCGGCGGCGGCGGCGACGACGACTGCGGCTGCGAGCAGCGGCGGCGGCAACGGCGGCGGAAGCCGCGAGCAGCGGCGGCGGCCGACGGCGGCGGCGGCGACGGCGGCGGCGGCGACGGCGGCCGTAACTTCCTTCCCCTCCTCTTCCTCCTCTTTCTGCAGTGCTTCGTCGCCCGCCTCGTCCTCGCTCTCGCCCTCCTGCTTCGCCGCTCCGTCCTTCTCCCCTTGCCCTTTCATTCGTTCTCCGTCCCTGCTCCCTGCTGCCTGCTTCGCCGCCGCTCCTCCCCCCTCCGCCGCCTCCTCGAACCGCAGGCATGTTGCCATAGACCTCCGCGTGCCGCGTGCGCGGCCCCGCGCGGCGCCGCGCGGGCGGCGCCCAGCGCGACATGAAATCGACGCCAAGGCCGGCGTCAGCTTGCCGTCGCTCGGACGTCCACTTCCCGTGCATTGTTCGGTTTCGTGCGTGTTTTTGTTTGCTCGATGGTCCAGGACGGTCCTCAAGGGTCCTCGCCGAGAAAAAAATACACATGTGGGAGCGATGCCAGGTCAGAGTTGGACGCGACTGGGCAGCACGCGGGGCCGCAGTTGGCCAGGCTCGGCGCCCAGATGCAGCAGCAAGACCGTCCGAGCTCTCCAGAGAGAATTCGTGGGCCAGCCCTCCGTCCCTCGTCATCGCCAGCTGCCTGTGCCCGCCCACCGCGTACGAGCAGTACCTGGACCACCTGATCCAGCGCTGCACAAGGCAGAACCCGACGGCCCATGAGCGCAGATCATGCCACGACGCCGTGCGTTTCGAGACCCTGGCCGGACAGTTGCCGAACGCGGCAGTGGCGTGCACCACGCGCAAAAAGGACTACCTGCGCATCGGTGCAACACCATACACGGTGGTTGTGCTCGGCCACCTCCCAGGATACCGCGCGAAGGCATGCCGTGCAGAAGCGGGAGCTCTGGTCGCCACTGCGGGGAGGAGACAGCCTGGCACTTGCCGCGTGCAAGACGGTGCCTTGCCCTCCCTGGAGGAGTTAAATCGGCGACGACGGGATCCTCAACTTGGTGGAGCTCTGCGCAACCGCCACGCTGCTCGAATGGCCGATGCACTTCGTGGGAACATGGGGTGGCGGCCTGCCGCCGGCGTGGGCACTTGCCGTGCTCAACGAGGACGCGCCCAGAGCCCCCAGTGCGACGAACGAGCCGCGCCAGGCAGAGCTCAGAATGATCAACGGCTGCACGGGCGTCTACAAGGACTACGCCGAGCGCGCGCGCGACTATGGCATCATTGATGTGCTAAAGAAGTACCTAAAAGATGGCGGGAACGCGAACGAGCTGCCTGGACACACGCCACAGGAAGTTCTTGAATCGCGCGCCAACCTGAACTCGGGCGCCAGGTGGTTCAACACCCACATGATAGCGCTCCTTCGTGTCGGCAGCGGCCCCGACCGTGAAAACTCCTAGCGATGCAGCTGCGGGATTTGTGACTGTCGTCGACCACTTCTTCGAGGCCCTTTGCACGATCGTCATGCCGCTGTGTGCTTCGGACTTCCGTCGACCTCTTCGAGGCCTTTTCGACGATCTTCACACCGCCGTCGGCTCGTGAGTGTCGTCGACCTCCTCGAGGCCTTTTCGACGATCCCCATACTGTTCCAGGCCGTGCAGCGGAGGGCTGAGTTGAGCCACTGCGGCCTGCCTGGCCCCGCTCTGGGGCGCGTGCCGATTTTGCGTCGACCAGACTCTTGGCTGCGCGCCGCTCCTTGCCCTCCTCATCGCCCTCCCCCCCTCCGTGTCATATGCTGCCGGCGCGATTGACGCTGAGCGGGATTGCCGCTGAGCGGAATTGCTGCTGAGAAGGGGCGGGATTGCAGCTGAGCGGCATTGCTGCCGCATGGGGTGCCGTCGCCGTCGCCCTCGTCATCGACCTCGTCCTCCCCTCCGTCTCCTGCCCCTGTTCCTTTTCCTCCTCCTCCTCCTCCTCCTGCGGATACTCCTCCTCATCCTCACCCTCCTCGTCCTCCTGCTCCTGATCCCCCTTCACTTGTTCCTGATCGCCCTCCCCCTCCTCGTCGTCGCCGTCGTCCTCCGCCTGCTCCCCACGATGAGGCAGCTGGATGAAACGCACGTGTTTCGCCTGAGAGATCCTCGGACAAATATGGCGTTGACAGAGTGGTTCGACGACCCCTCATGTTAACGGTGCTTTTGCTGCAGACATCCTCGGGATATGGGCAGGAGCGCGGCCGACCAACACCGATGACCCCGCCGCGAAAGCTCCATCAGCCCTCTTGGGAAGGTCTTGTAAAGGCTCTTGCGCGAGCCTCCAACGGCCCTGCAACACAGCGCAGCCGGCCCTGCAGCACCTTGCGCTGCCATGCAGACGACAAGAGGGGGGCGAGGCCTGCGCCGGGGAGACTCAGGATGAGAAGTGCGAGCGTGCTGACTACGCTAATGCTGATGAGGGTTATGGCGAAATTTTTCATTTCAGATCACGCACTCCTCAGGCGAATTCTTACCCGTCGCCATGCCGCGAGGCGCGAAGTGGAGTGTTCGTCTCTGCTCCCCGTGCTCTGGGATGGGTGGGTGGTTATAGTATTCTGGTGGCGGTGCCCCCGATTGCCCCCGGCTTTCCTCGCATGACGTTAGGGCCCGACGACGGGCCGAGAGGGCCCGGGAGGCCTCCACGACAACCGACAAGATGACCTTCAAGATGCCCACGTGTTCCCCGAAGGCTTTCCAAACCGATTCGGGGAACACATGGTCCGACAGCTTGGCAGGTCTGGCCCCAACGTTCGGCCACATAGGCGCTTCCAAAAAGGCAGGGGGCGGCGGTGTGTCGCCGTAGGCGTCTTCGATATCTAGACTACCTGGAGCGCGTTCAGAGCTATGTCGAGTTAAGGTTCGCCTCGTCGGGGGCTTCCGTAGAACCTCGGGAAGGCCCCGACGACCATCGAGGGCGAAAGCTGCGCATGACTTGTTTGCTACCCCAAGCCCATCTCCACCATCATAAAACGCTACCTCAATAACAACCAAACGGCTGTAGTTTAAAACGTCAGATAAGTTCCATAAGCGCCATGTGGTGGTAAGGGCAACATTCCGCTGCTCTACAGACGATCGCTCAGATGTCAAGTAGTCGGGTTGTCAACCGAGTATGTTAAGCGAAGGAGGTGAGAGATTCCATCGTGCCTTGAGATACTGGGAGACGTGCAAACACACGTGTGATTTTACAACTTGACTTCAAATCAACCTACGTTGCTAATGTCACTCTTCTCTGAGCAAGCCTCTCAATATGTGACCAACCTCTTTGCTCATCTTCTCATTTGCTCTAAGCACCCGGCTGGCCCCAAGACCACGGCCCCCTCACAGTCGCGAAATTCCCAGCCGCACTGGAAGACCAGAACTGCGAGTTCGCGTCGAAACCGGGCCTGGTGCCTCCGAAGAAATGGCGGCCGTTGATCCGCTCGCCGTGCGCGTAGCCGCACGCTACACCGCGGTGCAATGCTGCGGGAGCACGCAACTGGAAAAGCGAGTCGATATTCTCGCGGACGAGAATGTCGGAGTCCATCAGAATCACCTTCGTGTACTCCACCAATGAACTCAGCGGCCCATAATCAAATGCGTGATGGCCGCGAGCTGGCCCGAAGAAACCGGCCCAAGACCCGAACTGGCCGAACCGGACCGGCCCTCCCCGTGAACAAGCCGAACTAGACCGGCCGGACCTCGGACACCGAACCGGCCGGGCCCGACCAGCCCGACGAACCGAGCCGAGCGAATCGAACCGGAGAGCAGCGGCGTGCGACGGCGAGTGCGAGGGCCACAGGGGGGCGCAATAGCCCCCCCCCCCCTGGGACAGAGTAGTACAGAGTGGGCCCCCCCCTGGGACAGGTAGGCCCCCCCCCCCCCTGACAGAGCCCCCCCTCCCGAACTAGACCGGCCGGACCTCGGACACCGAACCGGCCGGGCCCGACCAGCCCGACGAACCGAGCCGAGCGAATCGAACCGGAGAGCAGCGGCGTGCGACGGCGAGTGCGAGGGCCACAGGGGGGCGCAGTAGCCCCCCCCCCCTGGGACAGAGTAGGCCCCCCCCCCCTTGGGACAGAGTGGGCCCCCCCCCCTGGGACAAGGTAGGCCCCCCCCCCCCGGGACAGAGTAAGCCCCCTCCCTGGGACAGCTTAGGCCCCCCCTCCCTGGAACAAAGTAGGCACCCTCCCTGGGACAAAGTAGGCCCTCTCCCCAGGGACAAGGCAGGCCCCACCTCCTGGGACAGAGCAAGCCCCCTCTGGGACAGAGTAGGCCCCTTGCATGGGTCACGGTAGGTCCCCCCCCTGGGACAAAGTAGGCCCCCCGCCATGGGACAAGGTAGGCCCCCCCCTGGGACAGAGTGGTCCCACCCCCTGGGACAGGAGTGGGCCCCCGCATGGGACAAGGTAGCCCCCTCCCTGGGGCAGAGTAGGCCCCCCCCCCGAGACAAAGTAGCCCCCCCCCACCCCCCCATGGGACAAGGTAGCCCCACTCCCCCAGGCACAGAGTAGGCCCCCTCCCTGGGACAAGGTAGCCCCCCCCCCCTTGACACAGAGAAGGCCCCCACCCCTCGAACAGAGTAGGTCCCCCTCTGGGACAGGGTAGGCCCTCCCCCTGGGACAAAGTAGGCCCCCCGCGTTGACAAAGTAGCCCCCCCCCTCGGACAGAGTAGGCTCTCCCCATGGGACAAGGTAGGCCCCCCCTGGAACAAGGCATGCCTCCCCCATGGGAGAAAGTAGGCCCCCCGCCCCCGGCACAAAAGTAGCCCCACCCCCGTTGGATAGAGTAGGCACCCCCATGGGACAAGGTAGGCCCCGCCCCCCTGGGATAGAGTAGCCCCCCCCCCCCTTGGAACAAGGTAGGCCCCCCCCCTTGGGACAGAGTATCCCCCCCCCCCTGGGACAAGGCAAGCGCACCCCTGGGACAGAGTAGCCCCCCTCCTGGGACAGAGCAGGCCCCCCTGGGACAGAGTAGGCCCCACCCCTTGGGACAAGGTAGGCCCCCCCATGGCACAGAGTTGGCCCCACCCCCTGGGACAGAGGAAAGCAGCTAAGCTGGCGGCAAGACTCGCAACTTCGTGAACGTGCCTGCAAAGCGGTTGTTGGGGTTCGAAAACAAGTTCTCGCTGGCTGAGACGTAGTCTACTACACACAAGCGCCAGCCAGCGTTTCGCAACAACTCGCGGCATCCTAACGGCACGTCTGTGGTGTGCAACAGCACCAAGTCGTGAGGTGTCCCAGTACGGCGAAGCGAATGTCCGAGGACCATTGCGCCAAGCGCGTGCTCAGGGTTTGTCCCCCACAAGGCACAGGCGTAGGCGTACCGCTCCGCCTTCCTGTCATGAGGAAACCGTTACATCTACACAGATGATAATGCTGCCAATCAAAATACCCCTCATCTCTTGGACATCGGATCTGCAAACATTTGTCTGACAAGCCTTCCGTCGCTCGAAAATGAATGCAACACAAAGGGGTAACCGGGCACATTTCACGACCTGGCTGTGTTGTGACATAGCACTTATGCGCACAACAATACGCACAGCAAGTCAACTCACTGCTAAACAAGACATGACATGCAACAACTTACGCATTACAATCCATACCTGAACAACTGACTACACTTTAATGCGACGCAGTGGTGCGTAATCCAAGGGATTCCACAAACACACAAAAC